TACACCCTCGATGACGAGAAAGTCTCGTGGAAGTTCCTGGAGGAGGAGAACTCTCACTATAAGCTGGGCACATCGCTCAAGACTGTGTTCATATCCGGAACAACCTCCATTGAGTGGGGCGACGAAAGCCAGGAGATCCGCGAGGAGGTAGACAAATGGGGCTGCGTCGGAAGCTCCGACTTCTACATATTTTTCAAATGGTTGAAACAAGAGCGAAAGGTGAACCGAGTCATCGAGGTTATTGTGGAAGACCTCGAGCCCACCGGCAGGAGACCGCATAGCGACAAGGCCATCAAGGAGTGCCTGTCGGGGCTCAAGGTCGAGACATGGGAATGGAGACGGATGGACATCCCGGCCGACGTGATATTCAACACCTGTGGAGAGCACATCAGCACTCTATATCTCTACTGCAGCGGCCTGAAAGCGGTTCTTCAGAGCTGGGCAGACTCAAATGGGCTCGTGAGGCTCAAACACGTAGGTTGCCCTCCCCCCCCCCCCCTTCCCCCCTTTGGAGTGTGGAGTAGCATGCACATCATGATCAGGCACCCTCTCGTAGTAGTCACCGCAGCGGACTAATGAGAGGACAGCTGAAATACGTCCACGTGAACGTCTACCAGGTGAGAAGACCCTTTGCACGAGACTTGTCCCCCAGGGCAGCAGCTGCCTACATGGATGTGATGTAGTTACATGTCGACGCTTACAAGAACTTAGGGGTTGGAATCTGCCAAAACTATCGAAAAGTACATCCATGAATTCAAGGAGGAGCTTAACGCCATGTACGAGCGCTCGTGGCAACGACGTCTCAAGATCGACCACGCCACGGCTCCGAATCGATCATCTCACTGGGCGGGAGGCGACCCCGGAGCGCCCGACGTAAAGAGCGAGAGCGAACCGGGATACAAAGAGTAAGTCCCAGAGCCGGGGGAACGCCATCGGTATCCACGGTGCGGCTAACGGTGTGAGCAGACAAGAATGGCTCAAGTGCATGGACGACTTCGCTGAGTTCATGGACCTCCTCGACAACGTTTGTCCAGTCCGGTCGGCTGCGAGGTCGCGGAGCGAGAGGGGAATTCGACTAACGGTGGAGTTAGGAACGCGGAGAGCCAGTAAAGGTTGCTCTCATCGACGACGGCGTCAAGACCAGCTACGAGGGCTTGAGCAACAACGTAAAATCTGGGTGGAGCCATTCCGTGGCTGGACTGGGCAGGACGGGGGGGGGGACTCAGCGTGTACCCCTCCGCGGCTACAACAGCTCACACACCGGACATGGGACAGTCATGGCCTATTATATACGGCGCGTGTGCCCCAAAGTTCAGCTATATGTCGCGAAGCTCCAGCCGGCAGAGAATACGGACTCGGACGGGAACCAGCCCACCTTCTCCGTAACATCCGCAACCGATGTGAGGCCCTAGCAGTTGACCCTAGACGTTCGTGTTCCTGACTGTTGTAGGCCATAAACTGGGCCGTGGAGAAAGGCGTGCACGTCATCTGCATGAGCTGGGCCATCGACAAGGCCTCGGGGCCAGACGGCGACGCTCTGCGAAACGCCATCCACAAGGCTGCGAGCAAATCAATCCTCATATGCGCCCATCCGGACAAGGGCCAAGGCCAAACGAACGATACATTCCCCTATTCTGCTGACACAAGGCGCATCTTATGCATCGGGGCCGCCAACCAGGACGGCATGCGCTGGGACAAGATTGACGCAAATGACACGTCCTGCAACTACTTCTTCCCCGGTGTCGAACTGGGCATCCAGGTGCGCCGGAAGGGCAGGAAGGAAGGAAAGAACCTGGGGAATCCTGGAAATCCTCCGCAGGAGTGGAAGAAACACAGCGGCAGCTCGCTAGCCTGCGCCCTCGCCACCGGTCTAGCAGCCATGGTTCGTGTATAAGCTAACGCTCCCTGTTCACCTTCTTTTTCTTCCTTTCGTTAAGGAGACTGACCGAAGAAAAAAATAGATCTTGCGCTGCGCCCTAATCAGCGGTATGGGCCCTGCTGACCCAAAGTGGATGTGGCTCAGGTCGTCCGGCGGTATGGACAAGGCGTTCAAGGCCATTGTCGGCGACCAACCCGGCAGTAAGTGGCCAGCGGTCCAGAACGTGTTTGGACGTGCGGGCAAAGCCCACAACAGGAAGGATGAGCTTATCCGGGTGGTGGACATGTTGTTGCAGGGGTATACCTAGCTATCTGACTCGGCCAAACTCGACTATGGATTGGGCGCAAAACTTGTCTATCATTCGACTGCTTCGTCCGTGAGGAGAAGAAGGGGAACGGGGGCACAAGGATGTAATATTCGTATCCGCGATGACCGCACTCCAATAGGAAAACGATGGCAGTTGCATTTCAGATGTATCACAAAAGTAATGACCAGGCTGCCCAAAGGGGCCTTCCCACCAGATGTACTGTACATTGTTGGTCAGACGCCCAACAGTTATCCCGTTGTGGCATGCCTCCAAGGCCACACAATTGGCCCGAATCGCCGCCCGAGTTCTTTGCCCCCACGCCTGCCGTGAAAGAGGATAGATAGTTGCCGCGCGGCGAGCGATCACAATGAATGCGTGCCCATACCGCCGGGAAACTCTCAGAGCCTCCTCCACAAAACGTAGACTGGGATACTCGGGCTTGCCATCTTACAGCACGCCAAAAGGCATTCACCATGAGAAACAATTACGAAGAGATCGACACTAGCTTTGATATCGATCTCGCAGAGGACACGGTGGGGGAGGGGGGGCCGCGACTCGAGCTCAAGGCCACCCGTATAACGCCGGACACGAACCTCGGTGACGAGAGCAGGGAGCAGCCGACGAATGTCATAGACCAGGACCTGGGCGGAAAGCGCATGACGGTGAAGTGCGACATGGTGAAGATCATTCACGGCACCGTCGTCAGCAATGGCTCGCCCGCCACCCTCGTGGTCTTCCAGTTCGCCTTTGTGCCGCGCGTGATCGGGGCGCGTTACAAGGAGGCCGAGATCATGATCCGGTTCTCCGCAGGCGAGCTGCAGTCCATCTCGCCGGCGGAGACGTCGGTGTTCATGCGCTCCAAGACGGAGCGCGAAGTAACCCACAGCCTCAGCCCGAACCTCCAGGCCGCCCACGGGCCGGTTTCCGCCGGCCTCGAGTACCAGTGGCAGCGCCGGGAGTCGCTGAGCATCACCGACCACGCCAAGGTTACCGGGTTCATTAAGTCGCAGCGGACGAGGGCCGGTCAGAATGGCACCAACAATACTGTCATCTGGACGCTCCACGAGAACAGCCAGACCAGTTCGGGCATCCCTTACTTTGTGCAGACGGCGCTGCTGCTAAAGAGGGAGCCCCCATCTCCTGGAGGGGAGGAGGCCAAGTTCAGCGCCGACATCGACATCAAGGTTGATGTGGATGGGACAACGTCAGTAAATGAAGCCACGGGTCGGGTTTTCGGCCTGCTTTCGAACCGGCGCCAATCGTCGAAAAGGGATAAGGACGATGGCGATATCCGGTTCAATCCTCGACTTAGCAAAGGAACTCTTGAGTCGGGCAGCACCAGCAAACTCAAGGCCGAAAACCTAGATACCTTCCGACGGCTTTGGCTGTTTCCTGCCTGGGTGGACGGGGCCGGAGAACCTCAGCTTCCCGGCAAGAAACCTCGGGCCCCCGAGCATACAGGGGCAATAGAGAACACACCACAGGATCCCCGGGACACGACGACGGTCACGGAAAAGGCCCTGTCGCCAGCCGGGATAGGAGCTCTTGGCTTAGATCCCGACGAGATTCCCGATGTGGGAAAGGTCAGTCTCGGGTTGCCGGACATGGCCGTGCCGTCAGAGGCAGGCATGCCCGCTGCAGGCGCCGGGAAAGGTGCCAGTGCCATTGGGGTGGCTGCGAAGAACGAGATCTGCGAGCAGTTGGAGCTGGTCCGAGCCGAAGCGGGAGCTGTGAAGCGGCTGGCAGACCTCATAAAAGAAGAGAGAAGGCTCCTTGGTGAGCTGCGACGGATTCAGAAGCCGTGGGCAGAAAAGACAGACCCGCACGGCTGATTCAACCGTGACGAATATCTAGATAGATTGGAGCTTTTACACCTACCTAGGCGTAGAAATCTGTTAGGAGAGTTTCATATAGTGGTTCTGAACGGTGTATAATGCCTTTAACCTACATGGTGGACTATCGTGGGGCACCGGATAACTGGAGACCTTTCTACCGGCGGTCTACTGGGAGACGCCAGCAGACTCCCTGGGTGTGACCGTTGGCAACGAGGCTTCTGGGTGTGCTTCTGATGAACCGTACATAGAGACGCTTTAGAGACACCCGCTAAAAACAAGGGAAGAGCAGCGGATCGCATCCAACGGAACGAGGCGACTTACATTGCTAATAGCTTTAGGCAGCGCGATCAATTTCTGTAGACAATTCAACTTAATCAGCGAATGTGATCCAGGCGGCGCACACAACGGTAACAACATGCCGGGCCATGTCGGCTTTCCTAAGTCGTCCCATCACGAGAATGTGCGTCTGCTACCTCTTAGAATAGCGGCGCAAAGACATTATATACAGCTTCCTTCAGAGGATTTTTTGGTTTCTCGATCGTGAAATGCGCTTTCTATATTCTTGGGACCAAGGATCTTCGGGAGGGGCGGAATTGGAGATCTTACACGGAGTACACGTACCTTGCACCCACCCTTCTTATCATGCCCATCATTACTTGTATATGTGGATGCCTGGCTTACCCGCTCCCTCCTGCTCACCCATACTCACCCGCTCTGCCTGCTCTTGCGTGAGTGAGTGAGTGGTCGACACAGGCGAGCAAGAAGTCCACAGATAGCTCCAAGTGTGACGCGTGCCGGGGCGTTCGGTGTTCGTCTGAATGAAGATCTCGTCAGGCTATATAATCGGTGGTTAAATTAGAAATAGGTCTACGAACGGCAGTTACCTTGAAGGGCACGAATAGAAGGTAAAAAGGAACCCTTCATCTCTTCTTCTCATTTTGTTCAGGGTGTAATAAAAAATCACAAAAAGAAGGTAATCTGATCGTGGCAGGGATCGAACCTGCGATCCTGTGCGAACTTGCGAATTGCTTGTAAAGCACATGCCTTAACCACTGGGCCACACGACCATGTATACCCAAACGGCGCAAACGTGTATAGACGTGCTGTTTCCTCCCGCCAGCTGGGACCAACCACACAGACCCACCCACCTCGCCTTACCTGCAGAGCTGTGCCAAAATACCAAGCTCGAAGGACCAGACAGAAACACGATCCTTTCCCCCCTAGCTCCCCCGGCCACGCCCAATTAAAACAATGAACGGTCTCCGAGTTGGTCTCCCAAGGTTAAAGGCCCCGACTGTGGCCCTCCGGCCATGGACTAGGTAAGCTACCAAACAAACACCCTGTCCCCCAATTGCGCCCTACGCAGGAAAACGAAGCTTCCTAACCATTTGAACGTATGGATCTAGCCGGTTCACCCTCCGCCCTTCCCAGCTCCCCGCCCTCTCCTCCCCGCCGACCCTCCTCCGCCCCCTCAGCACCACCCCCGCGAACCTCAAGAAGCACAAGCCGACGAAGCAGTCGGCTCCGGCGCCCACCCAAGCCACCACCTCCTCCCACGACGGCGAGGATGCCGGGCCGGCCGCCAACCCCGAGGACCCCCACAACTTCTCCGACGTGACGGCGCGCTTCGGCCACCTCTCGACGCGGTTCCAGGCGGAGCTGAAGCAGGCGCGGCAGGGCGGGGCCCTGAACCCGGCCTCGCTCTCCGCGCTGAGCGTGCCGACGCGCGAGGGGGCCTTCCCCCTCCGCGAGCTGGCGCAGGTGGTCCCTCGCGCCAACAGGACCGTCTCGCTGCTCGTCAACGACGCGGCGCACGTCAAGCCCGTCATGAGCGCCATACAGGCCTCGCCCGCCTTCAACCAGCAGCCTCAGCGGGACCCGGAGAACGAGCTGGAGCTGGTGATGAAGGTCGAGGTCGAGAGGCCCGAGGAGATCAAGAAGCGCCTGAAGGAGGTGTGCCACCTGTGGAGGGAGAGGGTGAGGGGCGTGAGGACCAAGAGGGACAAGGTCATCAGCGCGTGGAAGAAGGACGGCACCGTCACGGCGGACGTGAGCAAGAAGCTGGGCACCGAGTTGACGAACCTCATGAAGAAGGAGCTGGCGGCCGTGGATAAGGCGGAGACGCAGGCTGTCGCCCAGGTTGGTAGGTCGATGGGATGAGAAACCGAACAGGGGGGGAACTAACTCCCAATTGGCCGGGCTGTACGATATGGAAACTTGGAGAAAACGCGTTCGAAAGTGACTGCGCACTGGAATATAAATGTATACGAATCAATACAAAATGCATATGAAAAAAAAAGAAGACAAACATTTGTTGAGGTTCTACAAAAATCTTAGAGAAACTGGAATATACATGATTATACAATGAACCTCTCTACCCATCCCCCTGGGCATTCCGCCACATGATGCCACACTAACTATACAGGCCCTACACCCCTACCCTCTCCACACCCTCTCCATCCCAACCTTCCCGTAAACTCAAGCCTTCACCCTAGCCTTCCCCTTTCCTTTGCCCCTCGCCTTGACCGGCTCGGGGGCCGCCTGCTCCTTCACCTTCGGCTTAGCCTGCCTCGCCTTCGCCTTGGCGACCAGCTGCGCGAGCTTGGCCTCAAACTTATCCACCTGCTGGCCCTGGTACGTGCCCTCCTTCCTCAGCGCGTTCCTCGCCGTCCCGACGACGTCTTCATACGTCGTGGCCTCGACGGCCGCGTACTCGCCCAGCACGGCGCTCTTCAGCACGGCCTCCTTGACGGCCTCCTCAGGCATCCCGACCTCGCCCTGCGTCGCGAGGGCCTCCCTCGCGCTCAGGTCCGTGAAGAACGCGGCCCCGTCGGCCCGGAACCGGCGGTACATGTCCTCGGCGTTGATGACGGGGTTCGGGTCGACGTAGCCCCTGGCGATGAGCCTCATGCTCGTCGTGGCGGCCGCGAGGCGGCCCAGCGGGTTCGAGTCGGTCGCGACCTCGGGCAGGTAGGGCCCCAGGGTCCCGATGTCCGTCGTGGGCTTGTACTTGGTCGCGTACCCGACCTCCCTCGCGAGCCGCGCCTGCCTCTCCTCGAGCGTCTCGGGCTCCTTGGGGCCCTGCCTCCGCCGGGCGGAGAGGTCCTCGTCCTTGGCGGCCCCGTCACCGCCGCTGCGCTTCGCGCCCCCCCTGCCCCTGCCTCGGCCACCTCGCCCTCCCCGGGCTCCCTCGGCGCCCCGGAAGGATCCGCGGCCTCGGAACCCCTGGGTCCCCGCACCCCTGAGCGATCCTCGCCCGCGGAGTCCCTCAACCCCCGCGCCCCGGAACGCGCCTCGCCCGCGGAACCCCTCGGCGCCTCCTAGGCCGCCGCCTCGTGCCCGCCGCGGCAGGCTCTGCAGGTTCAGGACCTTCCCCCTCGGCGCGCCCCCCAGCGCACCAGCCGCTCCCCTAGAGGGAGACTGGCTCAGAATGGAATTGACATCCCTCGATGTCCTCTCAGACCTCTGGGCGAAGGTGGGTCGCGATGACGACGACGACGTGTTGTCGTTCCCGGCGGCGAAGGTAGGTCGCGAAGATGAGTTGTCGTTCTCGGCGGCGAAGAATTGGCTTGTCGTGAAGGAGCGGACGGTCTCCTTTGCGCGGTAGAATTCGGCCCTGGTCAGGCCATGGGCCGGGCGGAGGATTCGGCTCATTGTAGTCGACTGTGGTGTGTGGGTGGAGAGAATTGGTTCTTCTCCCTGGTTCTGGCTTGCTTGATGGAGTTGGAGCTGGTGTGAGGTTCTTGAAATTTTTGGGTTGGTTGGATTATGTAATCCGAACACGACATCCGAGTACATGCGCGCGCAGACACCAAAAGGAGAGGACGACGAATTTAGTTTCACAGGACAGACAGGGGTTGCTAGGCGCTAGGTAATAGCGCTAATCTTCATCAAAAAGCTGTCGAAAGCCCAAATCTCTCGATTTACTACATATTACGAAAGCAGAATTGTAGATACTCCACTAACTCTGCAGCGGCTTCCCCATCCCTCCGAGCGTGACGGTCTTGATGGTCTGGAACTCCTCGATCCCGTACTTCGACCCTTCCCTCCCGAACCCAGACTCCTTCACGCCGCCGAACGGCGAGGCGGTGTCTGAGATGATGCCCGTGTTGACGCCGACCATGCCCACCTCGAGCGCCTCGGCGACGCGGTAGATCCTCGCCGCGTCCGCCGAGAACACATAGCCCGCAAGTCCCACCTCGGCGTCGTTCGCGCGCCTCACGACCTCGGCCTCGGTCGCAAACTTGAACAGCCCCGCGACGGGCCCGAACGTCTCCTCCGTCGCGAGCGTCATGTCGGCGCTCATGCCCGTCAGCACAGTCGGCATGAAGAAGGTCCCCGGCGCCAACCCCGCGTCGCCTCGCGTGCCCCCGACAACGCACACGGCACCCTTGCTCTGAGCGTCGCGCACATGCTCCTCGACCTTGGAAACGGCACGCTCGTGGATGAGCGGGCCGTGCGTGATGCCGTCCTCGAAGCCGTTGCCGATGGTGAACTTCTCCACCTCGGCGGCGAACCGTCGGGCGAACTCGTCGTAGATGCCCTCCTGGACGTAAAGCCTGTTGGCACAGACGCAGGTCTGGCCCGAGGAGCGGAACTTGGAGGCGAGCGCGCCGGCGATGGCGACGTCGATGTCGGCGTCGTCAAAGACGATGAAGGGTGCGTTGCCGCCGAGCTCAAAGGATAGCTTCTTCACGGTGCCGGAGGCCAGCTTCATAAGGAGCTTCCCGACGGCCGTGGAGCCGGTGAAGGAGAGCTTTTTGATGGAGGGGGACGTCGCGAGGAGCTCGCCCACCCGTGGGGTGTTGTCTAGGGTCGTGATGAAGTTCACGACGCCCTTGGGGATGCCGGCCCTGACGGATAGCTCGGCGATGGCGAGGGATGTGTAGGGCGTCTCGCCGGGGACCTTGCAGACGACGGTGCACCCGGCGGCTAGCGCGGGGCCGATCTTTCGCGTGATCATGGCGGCGGGGAAGTTCCACCTGTTATATCCCAGTGCATCCGTAAGCAGCCACTCTCGACATCCTATACGCGACCACCAAAGGGGTGGAAAACCTACGGCGTGATAAGGCCACAGACCCCGACGGGCTCTCTGATCGTAAACACCCTATTTCCGGGAACGGAGGTGGGGATAGTGTCCCCGTAGGCCCTCGGTGCCTCTTCACTAAACCACTCGAAGAAGTTGGCAGCGTACGTAACCTCGCCCCTCGCGTCGGCCAGCGGCTTGCCATTCTCCCACGTAATGAGAGCCGCCAGGTCGTCGGCGTTCTCCATCATGAGGTCGTACCACTTCCGGAGCAGCTTGGACCTCTCGCGGCCCGTCTTGGCGCGGAAGGAGGGGAGGGCCTCCTCGGCAGCGGTGATGGCTGCTTGGGCGTCGTCGACGTCGCATTCGGCCGAGGTGCCGATGAGCTTGGTGGTGGCGGGATCTGGATACCTGTGAGCAGCGGATGGCCGGGAATTGGGACGCAGGGGTGCGCGACTAACCTCTCACTTCGAACGTTTTCCCCGACTTCGCCGGGGTCCATTCGCCGTTGACGAAGAAGGCATTCTGCTTCAGCAGCGTCGGGTCCTTGAGCTATACGTATTGCCAAAACTCGTATTAATATATGATGCGGACCTCGAGCAAACAAGTTGTGGAAGGAGGGCAGAGGGTAGAGGGCAGCAGCCGATGTCTTACCATGGGTACCATGTTGGAAGCGAGTCTCACGAAGTTATAGGATTGAGAAATCGAGGGGCGGAAGCTGTTTCTTAGAGGCCTTGTAGCAAGGACAGCGCGGGGTAGCACTTTTTGTACTGCCAGGACCATTATCTATCTCCGATAATGGATGAGATACGCCCCGGCAACTTGGTGGTTGTTACCGTTTAAGCGTCTCGTAGGCGGGGCGGCGGGGCGAGGGGCGAGTTGGATACACCGAGGGAAACTGAGACGTGTCTGTCGTACGATTGTTCAAGGGTAAGTGGCCAATTGCGTGGCAACGGCTATTAGAGGTGGAAGGAATATTGGGGGGTAATGTAATGCGCGAAGTGTTATGATGTGTGATGGAGGGAAGGGAGGTGGAATTGG